CAGCCCGAGGGCACAGACTGAAGCCATGAGAGCTAGAAAGAAAACCCTACACCCCACTGGCAAACCCATAAGCTCAACACTAAATTCTAACCACCATCACTGTGTCACAACACAGCTCTGGTGTCAGCACTGTGAGCTGGGGACTGTCCCCTTCCCCATCCTTTAATCCCATTTATGCCCAAGGATCCCCAAGTCCTTTGCTTCAGCTGCACATACCCAAAAGCTTTGGGGTTTCTGCCTCTTGATGCCAGAGTTAATTTTTAACTACAAAGCCCCCAGCCCTTAGACATTTTCCACCAGCTCCACACGACATGCCCATGCCAGCGATCCTGTCACACTCCTGTACCTACCGTGGCGGCAGCAGGTCAGCATGGGCCCACAGCAGAGCAGGAGGGCACAGAGGTCCACCAGGGCCACCTCCACGCTGCCCCACGACTTCTTTGAGGCATCTGGAGCCATGCTGAGCCGCTGTGTGCCCTGTCAGGCAGGCTGGAGGTGCTGTGCTGTGTGTGCTGTGCCGCTCCTCTTCTTTGAGGCATCTGGAGCCATGCTGAGCCGCTGTGTGCCCTGTCCAGGCAGGCTGGAGGTGCTGTGCTGTGTGTGCTGTGCCGTGCCACTCCCGGCCCTCTCCGTGCTTCCTTCCCCGCAGCGGCAGCTCGTTCTCTGTCGTACACAGCAAGGGCTGGGTGGAAATGAAACGTACCCATCTCTGCCCCAGAGGGAAACCCGGGGCTGCCTCCCACCCCCAGCTTCCTCCCCACACAGGCAAGGATCAGCTGAGCCAGACCTGGCCCCTTTTCCCCTCCCTGCGTGCTCCTGGCATGTTCCCACACAGGTACCCAGCTGCCAAGCAGTGGGGACAGGCACCTCTGAGCCTGCACCCTTTTTGGGGAGAGCTTCCAGGGATGGAGGACACAGGGAGCACAAGGGACAAGTCCTCAGCTCTGAGCCTGGCCCATAAGTAAAGGCAGTCTTGGGTTCCCAGGCACCCACAGGTGCTTCCACTGGATGCCCAAGGCAGTGGGGTTGTGGGATGTGTGACACTGGGTAGACAGGGTCTGAGAAGCCATGGGACACCTACTGGTAGGCTGCTCCCTCCAGGATGGGATGGGATGGGAGATGAGGAGGGGGAGGAGGACGAGAAGTTTTGCCTCCTTAGGTGTGTTTCTTCTCAGATTTGAAGAGAGCAAGGGCAGGTGCCCAGAGCCAGGGTACTGTTATTGAGGCAGAAGACTTCTGTAATTTTTTTGCCATCCATGCTCTCCTCTCACCACACTGACTAATACTGGCATAGGAAATAACCAGCAGTGAAAGCATGCTCCTCCACTTCTCTAAAACACAGCCTCAGTGCCCCACAATTTTGGAAAGTTTCAGGGGAAAATTAGTAACTGAAAATTAATAAGAAGGGTGTGATTCTAATGATGACTTCATTATTTTTCCAAGCTTCCACAAACAAGCTGTGGGGCTGGGGCTTGCTCACTTCTCACTTTCAAACATGTCCCTGGCAGGCGAGTGGGCTGGGGCAGCCACCCCTAATTTCATAGAATCATGAAATCATAGAATCATTAAAATTGGAAAAGACCTCTAGGACCATCGGGTTCAGCCATAAACACCATACCACAAGGATGGCCAAGGAGGGGGTTCTGAGCTGGGGCAGACAGGGCTCACCCTGGGAGGGTGGCTCAGTCCAGCCTGTCTTGGTTCTCTTTTCCAGTCTCCTCCTGACATTGCAGCATCATTCCTTTCTCATGAGCTGCTGTCACTGCTGAGCTGCAGAGCCAGGTTGGGCACCGTGCCCACCTTGTCACCTCTCTCTGCCACCTGGCCAGAGACCATTATGCTGCCTGGATGGTTGGCAAAGGGAGTGCTCTCCACCATGTGCAAGAGTGCACGTGGGTTTTGACTTGGACATCACTTCTTCCTTCATAACATCCTGGATTCCCACTAAAAAAAGCCCTGATTAAACTAAACTAAACTAAACTAAACTGAACTCCAGGGGAAAAAAGAAACTGACAGCAAGGAGGCTTTTCCACCCTGACACTTTATGTCCCCAAATGGTGACACCAGGCACTCGAGCCAGGTGTGGGGAAGCCTGTTTGGCACTTGCCACATGTTTTGGTTTCTAGAGGTGGAAGATGTGATGGGTATCACCACCAAGATCACAACGCAGCAAGCCAGGGATAGGCAGGAAAAACTGGCTCATCATCCCCACCCCACCGGCAGCAGTGAAGGGCTGATTAGAATCACAGCACAAATTGCTCAAACTTTCCAATGCACACTTGAAATAGGTATGAACTGGTACCCAGGGCGGGGAGGCTGCCATGTCCACAAGAAGCCAACAACGGCAAGATGCCTTTTCTCTGAAATAAAACCCATGGTGATGAAAAGAATAAAAGAAAAGATCAAGCTGCTAGGAAGCTGCTGTGGAGGAAAGTGAGGTGAGCAGCAGTTCTAGTCTCAGGTGTCAGCATTGCAGAGGAGCATAGCCCCAGCCCCACAGCAGCCCTGGGGTTTCAGGCAGGCTTAAAAAAACATAAATTCTTTCTGTGAGTTGGAGCATGGCAAATTGCATAGGACAGTCCTTTTCTATTTGGCCACCAACAGATGAAAATTAAGTCTAAAAAGTAAGGACAAGCAGAAATAAGTGAGAAGACAGTTTGTTCTTTAAAACTAAGAAAGAGCAACTTCATCAAGCACATGTCACACCAGTTCATTGGAGCACAAATGTCATAGTTTTTCTCCAGCCAGAAGCTGGTGAGTTCCATCAACACAGCTGCGACCCAGAGGAGGACCTGGTCTTCTGCAGCCATCACTGCTGGGGCACACAGCTGTCACCTGAGCACTCATATCAAAGGGTAGAGAGTCAGCCCCAAAATGGTTTAAAAGCATCTGGGGTATTTAAGGAGCACTGAAAAATTGGAAGAGGAAAAATAAATCTGTGATCAAACATCTCTGATGGAGCTGACTGAAGCCCAGAGCTGCGTGACTTTGAAGTCCAGGGAAAGCAGAGCTTCCCAGGTGAAAGAGGAAACACAAACTGCCACAAAATGATGCTGAGGAAGAGAAGCCCACACGTTCCAAAGATGCTTCCCGGAACGGTTTAACTGAATTCACATCTGTGGGTCTGACCCAGGCGGGAGCCGAGTGGCTGGGGTGAGAAGAGGAAACGGTTAATAGTGTTTGCAAATAAACACAGAATCTTGAGGTCTTTCAGATACTTCTCAGAAATTATGAAGGTCTTGGCATGATTTGCATGAGCAGCAACATCTGTAGGAACAGGCAGCGTCCTGTGGTTGTGAGTAAGCAGCGGTAAGCAGTGAGTAAGTACAGGGATGGAACAGAGACACAAAACTGTTCCTTTAACAAGCAGAAACCTGCAGGGCCTGGGCAGAACAATGGTAACTGTGATGGGAAGGTGCCACATGGGTATGGCAAGGGACCAATGTCACCTCCAGCATGGCAGTGGGTGCTCCTGCTGGCGGGCAGAGGTGACACCCAGCCCAGTGATACTAAGGACTTTGATGGTCCATCTCTAGCAGGAGGTGCTGGTAGAGTCTGTGGAAATTAGGAGCTGCTGCTGCTCAGGGTCTCAGCAACCCATCCATGCTCAGAGCAGCTTGGGGCAGGATCTGGCACCAGTTGGGATATGCCTGCGCATCCCAAGCAAAACTCTGGCAGTGGTACCCCTTTCCTCCTGGGGCAACCTCACACCTCCTGTACCCGAGGGGCTCCTCCAGGCACAGCTGGAGGTTCATGTCACGGTTCATGGCCCCGTCCAGCCTCTCGTCTGTGGCAGCAGCACCACGCCACAGCAGCACTGGCTGTGCCCTCACGCTGTTTCCATTCGGAGCTGGGTGAGGCACACAGGGACCTTTCTCAGCCGTGTCATCCGCTGCACGTGGGAAGCACAATCGATCACAAAGATCGCTGCTTCGAGATAACCTGCAGAGGAAACAGCATGTCAGCTTCTCAGCAGGGGCTGCAGCACACACAGTGACACACAGCAGCTATGGGCAGGGAAAAGGGCACCGGGGGTAGGATTCTGGGGAGCAAGAATTGTAGGCTTTTATGGAGGATTTAAGAAGGAAAGGAGCAAGGCTGGGATCTCCTCCCTGACATCTGGGATGTGTTGTACAGAGGCAGGAAGGGAGCCTCCAAGCCCTGGGCAAGGCTGAGTGCAGGGGCTGTGCTGGTTTGGGGCAGAAGGGGGGCACCAGGGAAGCACCCAGTGAGGCCAGGCTGTCTTAGCCCACTCTCTCCCCATCATACTTCCAGCCACCCCAGGCAGCAACGTCTTCAAATCCTTTACTTACAGAATCACGGAATGAATCAGGCTGGGGAAGACCTCTGAGATCGTCACATCCAACCTATGACTCAACACCACCATGACAACTACAGCATGGCACTAAATCCCACATGCAGTCTTTCTTTAAACACCTCCAGGGGCAGTGACTCCACCACCTCCCTAGGCAGTCCATTCCAATATTAACCACCCTTTCTATGACTAAGAAATCCTCCTAATGTCGAACCTAAACCTCCCCTGGAACAACTGTGGCCTCTTATCCTGTTGCTGGTTGTCTGGGGGAAGGGGCTGACCCCTGCCTGGCTACACCCTCCTTTCAGGGAGCTGGAGAGAGGGATAAGGTCCCCCCTGAGCCTCCTTTTCTCCAGACTGAACACCCCCAGCTCCCCCAGCTGCTCCTGACAGGATCTGTGCTCCAGACCCTTCCCCAGCTCCACCGCTCTTCTCTTGACTTGCTCCAGCGCCTCGGCGTCTTCTACAAACCATCGCAAAATTTTGCAGTTATTACAGTTATTAAAACAGCCCGCAATTATTTAACACTTATTTACCAACTACTTCATTGTACAAGTCTTCCTATATTAAAAAAAAAAAAAAAAATTTTTTTTCTTTCTTTTTTTTTTTTTTTTTTCCTTTTTTTAATACAAGCTAGTACCACCGGCTGCAGGAACACGGGCCCCGGCAGCACGCAGCCGCAGCGCCGGGGCGGGCGGGCGGCGGAAGCGGCGGAAGCGGCCGCGGTTGTCCCGGTAACCAACGCCGGGGCCTGCGGGGCCATGGGCGAGCTGGGCCCGGACGAAGGGGCCGAGAACACGTACAGCCTGCGGCCCGGCCTGCAGCACCGGTGAGGCCGCCGGGGAGAGAGGGGCCAGCGCGGTGGGAACTTGGGATCGGGGCGTGTGGGCCCCGGGAGTGAGGAGCTGCGGTGGGAATGGGGGGAGCGCGTCCCTGGGCATGAGGGGCATGAGGGCCATGAGGGGCATGAGGAACATGAGGGGCTGGTTTCGCCCGTGTTTGGCTTTTGGCAATATCTCCACTTTAGCGGGGCTTTTTTTCCCCATGGCTTGTCATCTGCTGTTTTTCTCTAATACATGAAAGGTACATTTTCCCAGGTGGCATTTGGCATTGCGTATGTTTCTACGCATTGTGTGAACTTTCTGTTGCACTTTTTTTTTTCTTTTTGTGTTGCCATGATAGGTTTAAGTCGTCCACAGTAAAAGAATGCATCCGTGCAATACTGAAGGAGAAGCTGGCCGATGTACAGTACATCCGAGAAGAAATGCCTGAGCTTACAAAGTCTTTATCAGACACAATAAAAGACAGACTGAAAGGTAAGGAGGTTTGCTGCGGATGTAATTTCTTTTCTTGCCATGTCCCCTCCCTTTTGATAAGATGCCTCTTTCTTCCTTTATACTTGAAATGTATTCCTTCCCCATTGACTGACTCGGGTCTGCTGGTATGAAGCAATCTGTCCTATATATGTACATTGCTTGCCTGTGGAACTGGAGACCTAATTCAAGCAGACAAGATTTGTTTTTGTATAGCTTGGCAGGTGTGAGATGTCAAACATGGAGGGTCTGCAGGGGGAAAGAAGCTGCATTAGAGAGAAGAAAGAAGTGATGTTTCATTGCTTCTTGCTTCCATAGACAGAACCATTCCTGCTCTTCTTCTGTTGTGAGTTAGATCAGAGCTGGAAAGGCACTGGAGATCAGAACAAGGCTCGGGGAGCACAGGGAAGGGGGAGAGAGGAGCAGTCAGCCAAGGAGGGGTGTGACTACAGCCTCACAGCTCTGGAAAAAGGTTGTGCTGCTGCACAGGATGCTCTCCAGCATTTTTGAGTTGGAGAAGAAAAGCGCAGGCACCAGCAGCTGTTTCCTGAGTTTTGTGCTGGAATAAGTATACGTATGAGTGTGCTGGCACGGACATTTTTTTCCCCTTCTCCCTGGGGACATGCTGGTGCTCCACCTGCTGGGCTGGCCTGACGTGGTGGCACAGCCACACGGTCACCCTCGGCAGGAGCCACGGGTTTGTGCTTCTCCCTGAATTGCACATCTCCTTTAAAGCCAGCAGCAGCTGTAGTCCCTGCACGTGTTCATGCTGAGCTCCTGTACAGGGCTTGGCTTCAGTAATGTATAACAACAGTGGCAGCAGCCTGAGGCAAGGCTGGCCCGGGTGGCCACTCTTGTCAGCTGGCATCTCTGATAAGCATTGACGTGTTGGATGTTAGCAGAGCCAGCGTGCTGTGTTCAGTCCTCCCGTGGAAACAGGGTGCTGGAGTCGTCCCAGGACACTGCTTTGTTGAAGACAGGCATTGGGATCTATATTTGATTTCAAACATGCTTGTTCTGATTTGGCTTCTGGAACGTGTCCATGGCCTGATTAGATCTGGCCTGTGCCCCAGAGGTACTTCTTTACTGTTGTAAAACAATAGCATGTCTCTGAAGACACATAAATAACACATCTATTTTGTGGCCTTTTATACCACGCAGGAGCAAAGGAAACACCTGTGTGGCAGAAGAATCTCACAGTACCTTTGCATCAAAACAGTTTTAAAATAAGACATTTCTTTTCAAATTGCATTTGTCCACCAGCAGTCTTATTTAAGTTCTTTCCATGTTGCCAGTTCTTGAAAGTTGTCAAAGCAGGATGCTGACACACAGTGTGGCTCCTCAGGGGTGTCTTGTGCCTTAAGATGCATCTTTTGATGGATGCCAACTACCCTGTTCACCCTTCAACTCCAGCAAAACCATGGTACTCCATACTAGGAAAATGAAGCTTTGCAAGGCACTCTGTCCACTTGGCTACTTGCATAGGCTTGTACAGCCACATGCTTTGTAGCCAGAAATCTTTAGCTTTCAGGGTCATGTTTTAGGCTCATATTTCTAAAAAGTTGTTGCTCTCACTAATATTTTTTTTCTCTCTCCAGAGGAGGGATTTGACAGGTACAAGATGGTGGTGCAGGTTGTTATTGGAGAGCAGAGAGGAGAAGGAGTGAAGTAAGTTTTGCATCTTCTAATTGTATTCCTAGCATGGTTTTTGGGTTTAGGTGTGTTTTTTTTTCCTTTGGAAGCTGCTTCCAACTTCCCTTGATAGAAAGGCCTGTCTGCAGATGAAGTGTAAATCACTTTCTTTTCTCTTTTGGTGGCAACTTGAGTGTTTAGGTTGTGACTGGTTGAATTAGCTAGTGATAATTTGCTCTATGGTGGTTCTTAGCAAGCTGAAATGATGAAAATAATTTTTGAGAAGTGTGGTAGAAGCATTTTATGTTGTATTCATGATGAATTAGGGTACACCCCCAGTCCATTCCCAAGGCCCTGCTACAGCACAAAAGCCATGATAACTCACTTCTGTCTAAAGCCAGAAATCTTCCATAAGCACTTCATTTACATTTTTCAGAAGTTTCAATTTCTATAATCCCACTGCTATACTGCCATGGGAACCAAGCCTAGATTCCCATGTGGGTGCTGAGCACTTGCAGTCGGCTCCAGATGCCTGTAGTCAGATGAAAGAATTCCTCTTGGCTGCAACAGTGGGCTGTAGCTTTCCATTACTCATGGGTAGGGAGAAGACAAAAGGGAACAGCTCACAAGGTTTATGTGCTTTATCTGCTGGGCTTATCTTTATTATTGTGCCTGGTACTCCAGCAGGAGATAAGTGCAGCAGAGCTGTAATCAGATCTGCTGCCTCCCTGTTTTGGAGGTCAGAGAAGAATACCTGTACCTGCTGCTGAGGCTTTTGTTAGGAATGTCTGTCTGCAGGCAGGCTGCTCCACAAGCCCCCTACCAGGGTGAACAGTTCAGTGTTCAGGTGGTCTGATCAGAAGTGTGAAGTCCAGCCACACAGGCTGACACAGCAGTTGGGGAAAATTTCCAGTTTGCAACAGACAGGAGGCAAGTCTGAAACACAATCACTGACATCCTTAATACAAAATACACCTTAGTACATTCATTCATACATTATGGGACTGTGCCCCAAAAGGAATCCTGTCAGCTGAGGCTGACTGGGGCAGGCAGGGAGTGGGAGCAGAGAAAGGGGAATGTCAGTGCCTTTATACAAGGCAGCAGCAAGGTCTCTCATGCAATATCCTGTTATGGTCTGGTTGTTTGTGCTCAGGATAGGGCTTGGGTGTAGAAGCCCATCAGGATAGTCAGGGAGCAGAGGGTATAGATATGAAAAGACTTGAAGAGGTCATGGTCTCGTAGCATGGCATCTGCCAAGGAATACGATAGCTCCCTATAAATAAATTGGGAGTGTGTACCATGAGGGTGCAGGAGGTGAAGGATGAGAACAAATAAGCTAAATTAGCCACTGATATGCATAGGCCAGAAGTCAAAGATTCTTAAGCACCATAGCAATGAGGTTTCAAGCCCTGCTTGAAGGTGGCTGGTTGAGAGCTGATGAGTTTGAAGGTGGAGCACATACAGAGGGGATTACAGCATGTGGTAGAATTCAGCAGTAGAAAACTGGGCTTGGCATTCAGGAGCATGCTTCCCAATTCCACTACCTTTAAAGCAAGCTCAGTTTGGTTTTCAAGGGAAGTATCTGTGATCACTTAGGTCACTACACATGAACTTTGCGTAATATCCCTGTCTGGCTCCTTTGTCTAGCATGGCTGCACGATGCTTCTGGGATGCTGACACTGACAGCTGTGCTCACGACGTGTTCATGAACGTAAGTATGGGCTGGGTTCTCACGGGAAGTGCAGGGCTACTGGCTTTTGTGTGAGAGGCAGAGTGACCTTAAATACGGAGCAGAAAAGAAACAAGGAAGGATTCAAGGTTATTGAAACAGCCTGATTTACATCCTTGTTCACAAAACATACCTAGCTGTAATAGCCAACACAGTAAAAGTTCTCCCCTGAGTAGGTGACACAGTACAGTACAAAAGTCATTGTAGTCACACCACACTGGTAGGGAGAGAAAGCACAGGAGACAAAGTCTTTTCTTAGATACTTGGCTGAACTGCAGACGTGGAGCATGGCTGATATCCACGACTGAGATAAGTCAAGGTTTTACTTAATTATTATTTTATTTTAAACTGCCACCTAGATACCTGTGGGTGTGTGGATGAAGGAAGTTGAGATGCTTCTGGCATTCAGATGCACTGACCTGGGTTATATCATAAGTGAGGTGAATAAGAAACTTCAATAAAAGACAGAAAATTGCTATATATTACCATACAGTTATGATCTGGTCTAAATGTTCCCTGATGTTTGCCTATTCCACTAGACTAGCAAAAAGCTTGCCTTGACTAACACAGAGTCTTTGTTTTCTCCAGGACAGCCTGTTTTGTGTCGTGGCTGCATTTGGCTGCTTCTACTATTGAAGGTGACAAACATTGCACAGGAGGATGGATGTTGGGGAGAATGCTTTGGAGTATTTTTTATTTAAGTGCACAAAAACATCATATTCTTCCTTTAGTACATAACACAATTAACAGCTCTACAAAGTACGTCCTACATCTGTTCTACACACTACAACATTCCCTCTTCCTTGTGGATATTGATACAGCTTTAAGCACAATATTAATATTATTATTATTATTATTATGTCCTTTATTTAAATGGCCCTTTGTTTTTTATATAGTGTTGGTTTTGTCCTAAAAGTGTATTGCCAATAGCCATTGCTTCTAAGGCAAACTCAACTCCTGTCTCGAAAGGGTTCTGTTACTTTTATTTTTATTTCTATGAAATTAATGAAATATTTATAAGAAAAAAACATAATAAATAAATGTATTTAGTATTTCTTTTCATGGCATTTTCTTCCACTCTACAAGATGCACTACCCTGGATAGCTTGTCTGCATTTCTTAGGTGAGCATTTTGAAAATTATTTATCAATTAATCCATAAAGCAGATCTCAGATTCTGGTTATCCAGATTTGTTCCTATCACTCCCACAACAATTGGGCTATGAATCCCAGCTGTGTCACATGAGATGGTATTAATTGATGGAAAGTCGAGGTATTTAGGACATGAGGTCAGGCCAGCAGCCCACACACCCCATGACTGCCAGAACTCCTCCCTGCAGTAAGTGCTCTTGGTTTGGTGCAATTTGGCACCCGTGGATGCTGTGAGTGATCATTGCTCCTCACGCTTTCAGCAGATATTGCAGTGATTTCTCAGTCTGTAACTGTTTTGGAATTTGAGGGTGGATGTTTGGAGACCAGCTGTGCTAGGAGTCCAGCCTCAGAGAGGCTGCAGTAGATGTGCAGAAGAATGCTAAAGGTTCTCATCGCCCCAAAAGCTGGAGGACCACGTGGTTGCTGAGACCATGGGTGCCAACAGAGGACATCTTAGCATGCCCACTGGATGATGGGATGCTCTGTGGTGATGAGTGTTCTCTCTCTGCTGACAGGGCAAGCACAGCTGAACCGTTCCAGTAGGATGGACAGCTTTCAGAGTGCCAAAGTGGGGTGAGGTGAACCCTGAATCCCGCCTTCACCAGCTGTTACAGCAGAACACACCCTGCCCATGCAGCTCTTGGAAGCTGGGAAGTAAAAAGTTACAATCTAGAATCCCTCTTTCAGCTACAGTGCTGGAGGCAGCACACTGCTGCTTCTCTGTTATATTAGTTTGAAATATTTTGGTTATGAGTCTTCCTCTCCTTTTCCTCTGGTGGGAAATGAAGGGTGACTTCACTGATTGCTTTGTTGCCACCTGTGGCTGTCACCCACTAAGGAACCTGCAGAGAGATGTGGCAGCACTGCTCTGTTTGTGCACAGCCTGGGAGCGTGACTTTTAGGGAACAGCAAAACCCTCCACACAACATTTTCCAGGAGATGGTACATATGACCTCAGACTCCTTTTGAAGCTTTTATAAAGTCACGGCTGTTAAATCACGATGTTTAACCTTGCACTTGCTCCATTTTGGAGGTGTTTAATGGCTTCTTCACAAAAGTGTTGTACAAATGAGGTGAGCAGATTTAAGTCTGTAATCACTCTGCCTCACCACGTTTGGCTGTGGCGTGGGACAGGTAAGGGATGCTGTATTTTCCCTGGAGAAAGATTGAGACACTGAAGCAGTGCTGAAGCATTCTATGCCTGTGTGGACAAGCAGGGCAGCTCCCTCCTTCCACAACTTCCAGAATTTACACCAGATACATCCATACACTGGATGAACAGAGAACAGACTTCATCAGTCTCCCCTCCTCATGATGGGAAGCAGAGGGGTAGACTCTGCTCTGTGGTGACAGGACCCAAGGGAATGGCCTGAAGCTGTGTGCTGAGGGCTCAGGTTGGGTATCGTGAAAAGGTTCTCTCCACAGAGGGTGTTTGGGCACCGACCAGCCTCCCCAGGGAGGTGGTGATGGCACCAAGCCTGGCAGAGCTCCAAAGGCGTTTGGATCAGGCTCTCAGGCACATGGTGTGACTCCTGGGGATGGTGTGTGCAGGGCCAGCAGCTGGGCTCGATGATCCTCGGCTCCCTTCCAGCTCAGGGTGTTCCGTGACGCGCAGAGCCGCGGGCCAGGCCCGTCGCGAGCCGGAACGGAGGTTCCCGGCGCGGATTCCCGGGACGCGGCTTCCCCGCGGCGGGCCGGTCCCTTCCCGTGGTTCCGGGCGGACACGCAGCGGCTCCGCCCGCGCCCCGCTGGCGTCGGCGGGAGCGGGGCGGGGCCGGGAGCGGCGGCGGGGCCGGGCTCTCGGGGCTCTCCGGGCTCGCCGGGCTGGGCTGCGGAGCGGCGGCGGCGCGCGGGTAGGGGGCGTCCGGCGGGAGCGGGGGGCTGCGGGTGCAGGGCACGGGGAGCGGAGCGGTGCCCGTCTCGGGAGCGGAGGTGTCGAGCGCGTCCGGGCTGGCGGCACATGAGGGCACCGCGCTGCCCTGCGGAGCCGCTCAGGGTCCCGCCCCGGCCACTCTCCCGGCGTGGTGGCCGTGGCACGGGCTGGGGGCTTCGGGCGGCGCTGGCCGGGCGGGACGCGGAGCGCTGGCTTTGGGCAGGGGGGCAGTGTCTGCTGCGGTGGTCGTGCTACGCTCCGTCCCCTTTGTGGGGGCTCGGGCAGGGGCCGGGGCTCGGCCGTGATCCTCCAGGCGGCAGCTGAGAGAGGATAGAGGCAGATCCCTGGGAAACTTCTGTGGTGCACCTTGGAGCGCGGGGGCTCCGGGGACATCCCCCCGGCGGGGACACAGTCAGGGCCTAGGGAGGACAGAGAGGACAGAGGTGGCCCTGGCTGCGGCCGAGCGAGGTGTGACCCAGCTGCTGCGTCGGCACTCGTCCTCTCTAACCCGCTTTTTGTGTCCACCGAAGTCCTGGCTGCACTGATTAATGGTTTTGTAATGGGACTTAAAGTCCTCAGGAATTCGGAGAGCTGTGGTGCTCCTCTGTAGTCCTGACTCGCTGTGGAGGGTGCAGGATGCTGCAGGTGGCCTTGTCTGTGTCCCCTGCTGCAGCAGGACCCTGGCAAAGGTTGGGGCGGTCAGAAACAGGTAATGCCAGGTTTCCATCTACAGGACCCCAGGGTCTGAGGACAGCAACTCTATTTGGGTTTGAAATTCAGATGAGAAATACCCACACATTATTTCCTGAAGAAATTTGCCGTCCATACACAGTTATTAAAATTCCTGATTTTGAAGTTTCTCGCTGTGAGGTCTGGGTTGTAACACTCTTGAAATCACTGTACCAAGAGCCACAAACAATAACTGTTGTCGTAAGGAATTGGTATTGGTGTGTAAACCTGCTAAAGGAGGTTTACACCTCTAGACTCAAAAAGCTCTGTTGCTAATCCCTAAAAACAAAACCGTGCAGAAGTCAGGTCAGAATGGCCACCTATTCTCACACTTTATTGTCCCTGAAAGTATCTTTTCTGGTTTTCTGCATAAACCCTATTTCTGCTGCTTCACTCTCGCAGCAGAGGCTGTCGCATGTCGAGACACTCAGTGCCTGGAGGTTATGGTATACCCAGAAGGGCTGTGAATTCACAGAGGTCTTGACAGGAGTTTCTCTATTTATGTGTAGCACTTAGCAACACTATCTAGGTGACCACACAGAGCTGTTTTCAGTTGTGGTTAGGCAGAGTTATCTTCAGCCATTTGGGACATTGTTGGTGAGAAGCAGCATCTTCCCATCAATTGCAGGACACGGGTACCAGAGCTTCTCCTTGAGAGAATGTTATCAGCCTGCCCGGACCAGCAGGGGATGCAAGGCCTGGGGGATTGCTTTAGCAGCCATAGCAAAGGTGTGGATGCTGTTGGACCGATGTGTGGCACTGGCTGGATGGGAATCCCTTTTATGTGTTCCTGTGGCTTTTAACACACTGTGGGACAGCTGCTTTTGTTGATCTTGATCCAAAGTAGCTGGAGCAGCCTGTGCTTTACAAGTGGACGGGACTGTGCCAGATCCTGCAGTAACCTTTTTAAGGGGCTCAAGGGCTTGAGCATCCAGGTAGAGCAGATGCTGACTGTGGGGAGCGTCGCAGTCTGTCTGGAGGGGAGCAGGCTGGGTCATAGCCAGCAGCACTCTGTTTCCAGGCAGATGCTCTGAGTCTGGAGACTGGGACAGAGCTGGGCCTGGCAAGCCTGGGCTGGGCATGAAGTTGCCTTGGAGATTGGGCAAGTTTTTTAAGCACTGATAGAAGAGAGATCCATGATGAGTCTTCTGTCATTAACCTCTCCCAGGTCTCTGTGTCTCCACAGAGCTCCATGGGGATACATACCAGCAAGGTTAATTGGAGACTGGGTGTTGCAGGTGATGGAGAACTGGGGGAAAAGGATTCTCTTCGATCTATGGTCAGGGAATGCAGAGGAATGTAGGGTCACTTTGGTACCTTATAGCCTGGCAAGGGCCTTATCTGAAGTGACAGGACTTCTGCCTTTTCCCTGAGGCTCTTGCTTACATGCTGTCCATGTGTCAAGGCAATTCTCTGCAGACAGCTGGCAGAGTGCAAAGTTTAGTAGTGTTGTCTGCAGATGAGTCAGCAGAAGAGAAATATCTTGTTCCTGTAAAGTGCAATGATCTTGTAGGCAAAGCAGCACATGACAGTCACATCTGACTGTGCCAACGCCTCCCAAGTTCAGAGGGACAGCCTTGAAGCAGGCAGTGCCACCCAGGGAGCTGTGGGTGTCCCAGGGCCTCGCTGGTCCAGCTGCCAGTCTTCTGCTTTGGGTCCCTGCTGGGAATTGCAGCAGCCTTGGGCTGGAGCATTTACTGAGTTTTCAGTTTAAGTAGCAGCATTTGTTTTGCTTCACAGGTGAATCTGCAAGTGAAAAGCAGCAGAAGTGGCAGAAGTAATCCTGCTACTGATGTAAGTTTGCAGTTAATATTCTCCAAGAAGTTCTTCAGGACATCAGAAAGAAAGGCAGATGGTCCAGGTCCTCGTGCCATCAGTGTGCTTAGGGTGCAGAAAGATCTGACCTGCTTCTCTGGTGTAGTGTGATGCTGGAGTTCTCTGACACGACAAAGACTGAAAAATGGCAGCACTGTCCGTAAAGATGCAGACAGTGAGGCAAAGCTTTGGCTAAGCAGGAAGATTTGCTGACCTCTTCCACCTGCCAGAGGTGTCAGCTTTGGTGTTGTGGTTAAATTCCAGCTCAGTGATGGTGTAGTTAACTGACACTAAGGGAGAAGTTTTAAATTCCTTCCCTACCTATATTTTTGTTTTCCTTTCTAGTAATCAATGCTTGTCCTCTTTCCTCTCCCAGAAGTGTCTGTGTTTCAGTGGGATTCAGTGATTCCCTGACAGGAAAAGCAACTCTTTTCCCATCTGGCAGTCAACTGCTCCTTGCAGAGCCTATGCAGGTCTCTCTCTCGATG